GTAAATTGTTTGTCAACCTTTTCTGGTAAAGTGTTCTAGAGCTCGCGGACTCGACGCGCTTACCGATGCTCTGCTCCAATTCGACCTGACCGCGGTTTGTCTAGTTTCATGCAATTCCAATAGAGATACGAGAATGTGCTAGGCGTAAACAGCCAAGTTAAACGCAGCGCAACATTCCCAGTTAAAATAGAGTGGTTTACTTAGGTACCGGCTAATGTTTCTTTGGTGCATTATATTCATCCCCTAACAAAGTAAGCACTCAGGTTGCCTTTATTCACACGACCCCACAACCCATCCAGTATTAACAAGCAAAACCTTTTCTAGTGCCACGTTGTCTTTGACAAAGCACGTTAGACAGGCCTGGGCGTAATGTTTTAATTAGGTCAGGCGGACGCTGAGGAAAGTTTCAAACATATCAGATGTTAGGGACCTGAGGTAAATACAGATAAACAGCAATATCCGAAAACATTTACTAGCCGGCTTCGTCCAGTTTTCTCCAGAGTATGGAAGGGACCAGTGGATGACAGCTAAATTAAGCTGATGAGTTACGTGAGAAGTTCACTCACAGCAAGCACATAAATTGCGGAAGAATAAGGTGTCTCGTTATGCAGCAACCACGTGAGGCACTATGTTCAGCGTTTATTCATCGCCTTCGGAAGCATCGCAAGAATGCTAAGGATATATACTACATCCTGGAGTTCTAAGCTAGCAGCAGATAAGAGCGATGGTTACCAAGCTCGCCGGTGAAGTCAGATACGTGTACTAAGAACAGCTGCAGCCTTAGGACGAAGCGTTACAAAGGGCCGCTAAGGAAAGCTACCCGAAATGTAGGGTTGCTTTCCGCACAGATATACGGTTTCCCTCCAACAAGAAAACCTAACACCCAGGTGAGCGGCACGAAAATACATTATATAAATAAATAAATATTTTATTTTTGAGTTCTTTGAGCCATACAAACTCAGGTAGGATCAAACGTTACATGCAATTATGTGGTGCAACAGATACGTTACAACGCACGTAATTGGCTGTGGCCAATGTTGTACAATCTGCAGAAACATTTGAAGCATTCAGGAAGAGCAAAGTCAACAGTGGCTTGCCAGTAAAATTGTTTCAAGTGTGCTTAAAGTAAATAAAAATAGTACAGTAGTTAGAGTGGGGGCAGTATGCGAAAAATGGGTAACTCTGTTGTACTTGTCAGTAGAATATCGAAAAAGGACTAGTACATATTCCAGTGTGTAACAGTGGGCAGTGACTTTGTTCAGCGGCGAGTCACATCTGCCTTGTCACAGTGTTGATAAACGTACTTTCGTGGCTTTTTATAGAGAGAAGGCTTGCCAGGCAAATACCTACCACGTCCTGAACACCGTCGTCGATTGTTAGGATCGGTCATGTGCAACTGGCAAAGCTAGTTATAAAGCATTAGTTCCTTTAGTCAATGGCAGGCGAGGGATTCCTCTGTTGGTCAGACAAATGGCACAGTCACATTCCAACATGGACGTTAGAGTCTGTCAAGGAGAAAGTATGGTTTAGCAGGTAAGTAGAATTTCCAGAGTATGGGGTGTCACTTTCCCTTAATATGTATATTTGCCGGGGAGCAAAGAATTCGTGTCCAGCTACCTCACTGGACATCGGTGGTTGAGTTGTTTGGTGCAGATGGTTAGTATGGAAGTGGAGCCATGGTCCAGGCAAGTTCTTGTTGGTTATTTCGTCCCATCCAGACAGAGGCAGTTACTCAGTGCAATCCCGGATCTCTCAGATGTGCACGACCACAGAGCAAAGGAAAAGGGAGGAACAGGCCAAAAGAAGACCAAAAAGGACAGTCGTTGTACCATGCATTTGGGAAATCCTACTTTAAGACATTTAGTTGAGACAAATAATGTACCATGTGTACCAGATATTACGCTGATAATGATTTTCAATTATGCAGATGGCATGGCCTAATGGGTAAAATACTCTCATAAATATGAGGGTGAAGTGCAGGGTTCCGGTAAGATATTCGTAAGGTATTAGCTAACAGCGTTAGAATTCATTATGAGATCAGTAGGTGAGTGCGTAGTCACGATTGGTTGTTATCAGAAACCAAAAGATACAGTGACGATGTGGCCATATTTATATATACTCCTTGGATTGAGGATTATCCAAGACACATACTAACTATTATGCACATGGGTATATGAAGCTGAGCATACTAGAAGCAGGCTAGGATTAAATGGATGTGAAAGAAAGACTAAGTGTTGAAGGTAAGACGATCGCGAGATGGCGTTGATGGACCGGGTTTCAGTGAAAAAATGCTTGTTAGGTTAAGCATTCTAGTAACTATTGAATAACCACAGTGTAAAAGGATAAGTCAAAAAACCAGCTGAGCTGTGAGCAAAAAGTACCAAGAGCATTAACTTTGGAGGGAATGAGTGACCCTTACCGAGCTCCGGGTAACCGCAGAGTTGAATAGAGCCTACAGCGACCAGCTGCTGCTAAGCAGAGATAGTGGCTCTAGCAAAGGATGTATCGGTGGCTGGTGAAGCCATATCATTAAGACGTTTGATTAATACTGGATTCCTACAGGTTTACTAATTAAGTCAACAAGCAAACGAGGGTTAGAGAGACAAACATTCCAGGAAAATAAAGGTAGGGGAGTAAAGTAGTTACTCCCTACAAGCTACATGGGGCCAACTAGGACTAGCTGCTGCTGAGAAGAGAAGACAAATGACGGATAACGACGCGCTAGCAGAGAGGTGTGGCCGGCAATAGAAATCGGAATAAGCCTTCAGTTACTAGCGAGTCCTACGGTGGCGCAGAATAGGGCAACAAACCAGCTGAGCTTTGACGCAAACAATCCAAGTGAATAAACATTGTAAGGAAGGATCGACTCCTAGCGAGCTCCGGATATCCGCAGAGTTGAATAAAGCCTATGGCGACTAGCTGCTGCTAAGCAGAGATAGTGGCTATAGGAAAGGTAATATCCATGGCCGGAGTAGCCATATCATAAAGAAGTTGGGTCACTATTAGAAACCTACAGTTCCATTGCATAAATCAACAATCAAGAGAAGATTGGAGAGACAGACTTTCGAGGAAAATGAAGGCTGGAGAGTAAAGGAGTGACTTCTTCCAGGCTAGAGATAAGCACAGATTTGCGTGAAGCCAACGACGACTGGCTACTGCCAGCACGAGTTGACGAGTGTAAGGGGAAGGGCAGAGAAGTGCGCTAGGAGAGAGGGCAGTGGCTGGCAATGGCATTTGAATAAGGTTTTTAGTTACTATTTGAACCTACGGTGGCACAGAATAGGTCAACACACCAGCTGAACTCTGATACCAACAATCCAAGAGCATAAACTTTGTAAGGAAGGAGCGACACTTAGCGAGCTCCGGATATCCGCTGAGTTGAATAGAGTCTATGGTGACTAGCCACTGCTAAGCAGAGATAGTTGCTCTAGAAAAGGGTGTATCGGCGGCTGGTGTAGCCATATCATTAAGTTCAGTGACAGTCGCGGTGGGATGGCAGCGTCAAAGGCCATGGCAAAATCAGTGAACAGCACCTTTACGACATGTCTACGGTCTAAGGCTTCGGCTTAACTCTCTCAATCTACCAGCAAGTTATGTTGTCACAAAAGTCCTTTGCGCACTCCACGTTGTGCACCAATAATTTTAAATTTGTTCAAGTTGATCATTAAATCTTTTAGCATTTTTGAAGTGGCGTAACCATTATGCTTGTCAAGCTGCCAGGCCGCTGCTTAGACGGTGGAATTTTTACCGCACTAGAAAATCGTGCAGACAGAAATCTCCTTCTATTCGGGATGCAAGCAAACTGCTGAGCGCCTTCGGAAGCGCACAAGGAAGAAGTTGACTGAGCTCACCGTTAATTGCTGCAACAAGTTTGGTTGAACGGAATCTGGCCCAGTAGCCTTAGTTTGGTTCACTTCTGTCGGCAGCCGGAGAACTTGAGACTCGGTTGCAATAAGTTGCCCACCCGAGGCTTCTCGCAGACGCTTGAAGCTGGCTGTGCGCATGGCGTAACTGTTTCACGGGCAACAACGCTTGAACGCTGTTCACTACGCAAGCATGCCTTGTCATAGTCACTATAGACAAGGGTCCCATCTCCTCGAATCAATATCAATATTGGCCAGTTTGTACCACACCACCGTTTAACGTAGGCGAAGCACTTTTGGAATTTGTAGAGGCAACCTCAACTACGACCTATTCATACTAAAACTGGGAAAACCTACGAGGTAGCTTGCACACATTGCGTAACCTCCGAGGGGCTGTTCTATACGCTCGCAGGCACCTGGAGCGCCACTTTAGCGGGGACCACCCAAGCGGAATCAATCCGCTGTGACTGTGCTCATAATTTCCTTCTGTTCACCAGTGGGAGGTAAAGTGAGGAAATGTCGACGAGGTAAGAGTGAAGTTTCTTCCGGACTACGTGAAAAATATCGGTCCGAAAGACCACACAAATTGATGAACGTTACTCAGCACGCTTCGCTTGGGAGTTCGCGGCCCAAATGTTCAGATCCAAAATGCTAGTAACCTGGCAAGGCCTAGTGAGAGTACCCAAAAAGGCGAGCAAACGTGCTTGTTGGCGCCAAGCGGCGATTCTTCACTAATGTCCTTTACAACCTTAATTGACTTAGCAACAAGGAAATCTAAGATGTACGGCAGCTGATCGCTTATGTATCTAGTAGGCAGTAGTGTAGCGTAGTGTAGCCCACAGCGCCGAGTCCACCAGTTCTGCACCGAACTATCCGAGCACCAAATGGCAAGATAGACCTGCACAACAAATAAACAAATAAATAAATAAGTAAATACTTTATTCTCGACTATGCGAGGCACGCCCTTGGAGGCATGATCAGATATGTACAACTGTACAAACATTTTGTGGCAACTGTGACAGTAATAGTAGAAAATTGGTCGTATGTCCATGGTAAAATAAATAAATAGATAGTTTATTCTCAGTTTCATAGAGACGCACCAACTTAGGCATGATCAAGGTTTAAAACTGTTGTGTATCACGATGATACCCCCCCCCCCCCCCCCCCCCCCCCCCCCCCCCCCCCCCCCCCCCCCCCCCCCCCCCCCCCCCCCCCCCCCCCCCCCCCCCCCCCCCCCCCCCCCCCCCCCCCCCCCCCCCCCCCCCCCCCCCCCCCCCCCCCCCCCCCCCCCCCCCCCCCCCCCCCACCCCCCCCCCCCCCCCCCCCCCCCCCCCCCCCCCCCCCCCCCCCCCCCCCCCCCCCCCCCCCCCCCCCCCCCCCCCCCCCCCCCCCCCCCCCCCCCCCCCCCCCCCCCCCCCCCCCCCCCCCCCCCCCCCCCCCCCCCCCCCCCCCCCCCCCCCCCCCCCCCCCCCCCCCCCCCCCCCCCCCCCCCCCCCCCCCCCCCCCCCCCCCCCCCCCCCCCCCCCCCCCCCCCCCCCCCCCCCCCCCCCCCCCCCCCCCCCCCCCCCCCCCCCCCCCCCCCCCCCCCCCCCCCCCCCCCCCCCCCCCCCCCCCCCCCCCCCCCCCCCCCCCCCCCCCCCCCCCCCCCCCCCCCCCCCCCCCCCCCCCCCCCCCCCCCCTCCCCCCCCCCCCCCCCCCCCCCCCCCCCCCCCCCCCCCCCCCCCCCCCCCCCCCCCCCCCCCCCCCCCCCCCCCCCCCCCCCCCCCCCCCCCCCCCCCCCCCCCCCCCCCCCCCCCCCCCCCCCCCCCCCCCCCCCCCCCCCCCCCCCCCCCCCCCCCCCCCCCCCCCCCCCCCCCCCCCCCCCCCCCCCCCCCCCCCCCCCCCCCCCCCCCCCCCCCCCCCCCCCCCCCCCCCCTCCCCCCCCCCCCCCCCCCCCCCCCCCCCCCCCCCCCCCCCCCCCCCCCCCCCCCCCCCCCCCCCCCCCCCCCCCCCCCCCCCCCCCCCCCCCCCCCCCCCCCCCCCCCCCCCCCCCCCCCCCCCCCCCCCCCCCCCCCCCCCCCCCCCCCCCCCCCCCCCCCCCCCCCCCCCCCCCCCCCCCCCCCCCCCCCCCCCCCCCCCCCCCCCCCCCCCCCCCCCCCCCCCCCCCCCCCCCCCCCCCCCCCCCCCCCCCCCCCCCCCCCCCCCCCCCCCCCCCCCCCCCCCCCCCCCCCCCCCCCCCCCCCCCCCCCCCCCCCCCCCCCCCCCCCCCCCCCCCCCCCCCCCCCCCCCCCCCCCCCCCCCCCCCCCCCCCCCCCCCCCCCCCCCCCCCCCCCCCCCCCCCCCCCCCCCCCCCCCCCCCCCCCCCCCCCCCCCCCCCTCCCCCCCCCCCCCCCCCCCCCCCCCCCCTCCCCCCCCCCCCCCCCCCCCCCCCCCCCCCCCCCCCCCCCCCCCCCCCCCCCCCCCCCCCCCCCCCCCCCCCCCCCCCCCCCCCCCCCCCCCCCCCCCCCCCCCCCCCCCCCCCCCCCCCCCCCCCCCCCCCCCCCCCCCCCCCCCCCCCCCCCCCCCCCCCCCCCCCCCCCCCCCCCCCCCCCCCCCCCCCCCCCCCCCCCCCCCCCCCCCCCCCCCCCCCCCCCCCCCCCCCCCCCCCCCCCCCCCCCCCCCCCCCCCCCCCCCCCCCCCCCCCCCCCCCCCCCCCCCCCCCCCCCCCCCCCCCCCCCCCTCCCCCCCCCCCCCCCCCCCCCCCCCCCCCCCCCCCCCCCCCCCCTCCCCCCCCCCCCCCCCCCCCCCCACCCCCCCCCCCCCCCCCCCCCCCCCCCCCCCCCCCCCCCCCCCTCCCCCCCCCCCCCCCCCCCCCCCCCCCCCCCCCCCCCCCCCCCCCCCCCCCCCCCCCCCCCCCCCCCCCCCCCCCCCCCCCCCCCCCCCCCCCCCCCCCCCCCCCCCCCCCCCCCCCCCCCCTCCCCCCCCCACCCCCCCCCCCCCCCCCCCCCCCCCCCCCCCCCCCCCCCCCCCCCCCCCCCCCCCCCCCCCCCCCCCCCCCCCCCCCCCCCCCCCCCCCCCCCCCCCCCCCCCCCCCCCCCCCCCCCCCCCCCCCCCCCCCCCCCCCCCCCCCCCCCCCCCCCCCCCCCCCCCCCCCCCCCCCCCCCCCCCCTCCCCCCCCCCCCCCCCCCCCCCCCCCCCCCCCCCCCCCCCCCCCCCCCCCCCCCCCCCCCCCCCCCCCCCCCCCCCCCCCCCCCCCCCCCCCCCCCCCCCCCCTCCCCCCCCCCCCCCCCCCCCCCCCCCCCCCCCCCCCCCCCCCCCCCCCCCCCCCTCCCCCCCCCCCCCCCCCCCCCCCCCCCCCCCCCCCCCCCCCCCCCCCCCCTCCCCCCCCCCCCCCCCCCCCCCCCCCCCCCCCCCCCCCCCCCCCCCCCCCCCCCCCCCCCCCCCCCCCCCCCCCCCCCCCCCCCCCCCCCCCCCCCCCCCCCCCCCCCCCCCCCCCCCCCCTCCCCCCCCCCCCCCCCCCCCCCCCCCCCCCCCCCCCCCCCCCCCCCCCCCCCCCCCCCCCCCCCCCCCCCCCCCCCCCCCCCCCCCCCCCCCCCCCCCCCCCCCCCCCCCCCCCCCCCCCCCCCCCCCCCCCCCCCCCCCCCCCCCCCCCCCCCCCCCCCCCCCCCCCCCCCCCCCCCCCCCCCCCCCCCCCCCCCCCCCCCCCCCCCCCCCCCCCCCCCCCCCCCCCCCCCCCCCCCCCCCCCCCCCCCCCCCCCCCCCCCCCCCCCCCCCCCCCCCCCCCCCCCCCCCCCCCCCCCCCCCCCCCCCCCCCCCCCCCCCCCCCCCCCCCCCCCCCCCCCCCCCCCCCCCCCCCCCCCCCCCCCCCCCCCCCCCCCCCCCCCCCCCCCCCCCCCCCCCCCCCCCCCCCCCCCCCCCCCCCCCCCCCCCCCCCCCCCCCCCCCCCCCCCCCCCCCCCCCCCCCCCCCCCCCCCCCCCCCCCCCCCCCCCCCCCCCCCCCCCCCCCCCCCCCCCCCCCCCCCCCCCCCCCCCCCCCCCCCCCCCCCCCCCCCCCCCCCCCCCCCCCCCCCCCCCCCCCCCCCCCCCCCCCCCCCCCCCCCCCCCCCCCCCCCCCCCCCCCCCCCCCCCCCCCCCCCCCCCCCCCCCCCCCCCCCCCCCCCCCCCCCCCCCCCCCCCCCCCCCCCCCCCCCCCCCCCCCCCCCCCCCCCCCCCCCCCCCCCCCCCCCCCCCCCCCCCCCCCCCCCCCCCCCCCCCCCCCCCCCCCCCCCCCCCCCTCCCCCCCCCCCCCCCCCCCCCCCCCCCCCCCCCCCCCCCCCCCCCCCCCCCCCCCCCCCCCCCCCCCCCCCCCCCCCCCCCCCCCCCCCCCTCCCCCCCCCCCCCCCCCCCCCCCCCCCCCCCCCCCCCCCCCCCCCCCCCCCCCCCCCCCCCCCCCCCCCCCCCCCCCCCCCCCCCCCCCCCCCCCCCCCCCCCCCCCCCCCCCCCCCCCCCCCCCCCCCCCCCCCCCCCCCCCCCCCCCCCCCCCCCCCCCCCCCCCCCCCCCCCCCCCCCCCCCCCCCCCCCCCCCCCCCCCCCCCCCCCCCCCCCCCCCCCCCCCCCCCCCCCCCCCCCCCCCCCCCCCCCCCCCCCCCCCCCCCCCCCCCCCCCCCCCCCCCCCCCCCCCCCCCCCCCCCCCCCCCCCCCCCCCCCCCCCCCCCCCCCCCCCCCCCCCCCCCCCCCCCCTCCCCCCCCCCCCCCCCCCCCCCCCCCCCCCCCCCCCCCCCCCCCCCCCCCCCCCCACCCCCCCCCCCCCCCCCCCCCCCCCCCCCCCCCCCCCCCCCCCCCCCCTCCCCCCCCCCCCCCCCCCCCCCCCCCCCCCCCCCCCCCCCCCCCCCCCCCCCTCCCCCCCCCCCCCCCCCCCCCCCCCCCCCCCCCCCCCCCCCCCCCCCCCCCCCCCCCCCCCCCCCCCCCCCCCCCCCCCCCCCCCCCCCCCCCCCCCCCCCCCCCCCCCCCCCCCCCCCCCCCCCCCCCCCCCCCCCCCCCCCCCCCCCCCCCCCCCCCCCACCCCCCCCCCCCCCCCCCCCCCCCCCCCCCCCCCCCCCCCCCCCCCCCCCCCCCCCCCCCCCCCCCCCCCCCCCCCCCCCCCCCCCCCCCCCCCCCCCCCCCCCCCCCCCCCCCCCCCCCCCCCCCCCCCCCCCCCCCCCCCCCCCCCCCCCCCCCCCCCCCCCCCCCCCCCCCCCCCCCCCCCCCCCCCCCCCCCCCCCCCCCCCCCCCCCCCCCCCCCCCCCCCCCCCCCCCCCCCCCCCCCCCCCCCCCCCCCCCGGTCAT